ATTTTAATAATAACAATAAAGGTCAAAAGATGAAGATAGGTCGGTAGGTAATGTAGAAAGTAAATATATATCTTGTAACCTAAGGAGATGTTCAACAACATGGTTGGTTTTGTTTTTTAAAACAAAATCAGTTGGACAGTTGTTACGTCAGCAAAAACAGAACAATTTTGCTGATGTGTCAGTTGTCTTTGTTTTCAAAAATAAAACCCGCCACCATGTTGTTGAATATTTTCTAAGAAAATCATAATATATATATATATTGCGTAAAAAAACAAAATGCAAGATTTATTTTTAATTCTTTTAAGTGATTTTATTTGTTATTGATTTTATCTTAAAAACGTCAATAAATTTTTTTTTGAAAAAAAAATCTTATGAAGAGAAAATATAATTAAAGATATATTTTGAGCCCCTTTTGCTCTATAAGCTTCTGTACTAACAGAAACCCCCAGGTAGAATAGTTTTTTTTTTTTTTTTTTTTTTTTTTTATAAATGATCCCCAGGTAGAATAGTTGATGAAACTATTCTGTTTCTTCTTCAAGGTGACTCGTCTCTTAGACTCTTACTGTTAATGATATGAGTGGTTCTCCTGTGGTTAATTTGTTTCTTTTTGAAAGGTCAGAACCCAGAAGAGGCCTCAATTACTACATGTCCTTGTTCAAAACCCACTTATGACTTGTCAGACTCAGATCGAATATCGTTAGACCCAAAGTTGGTGCAAATCCTGAGAATGTTGGGACAATTGTAAAACTTCTTGACAGGAGCCATACATTGTCGATTTGCAGTATGTGTTTGGATCTGTTTGTCCCACAAATCCCTAAGAAGAAGTAGAAAACGTGGCGTCAACTATTGACGTGAATTTGATGGTCCCCAAATGTCATCTGCTCTAAGTTGAGCAATATTTTGGATCTAGAGCCACAGTACAGTTGGAAGTGTTCAGATCCTTTGAACACTGCTGAGAAGCTCCATTGCTACTCAATGAGTTCCACTCAAAGTGATTATACCCAATCTTTTGTTTTAGAAAAGCAAAGATAGATAGAATCATAGAATATTATATATTTTATAAATTTAATCAGACTTAATCTTGGTCAGATTAATCCGCATTAGCTCTTAAGTTCTGAATCTGAAACTTGAGCAACTATTGTAGGTGAAGTGGAGAACAACTGAACATCCCGATATAATTGGATCAGATACCTGAGGATGGTTTTATTAAAACAATGGCAACAAATAGTGTTATAAATGGATCGAATTTGAATCAGATTCAATTATATTTACATCTACATCCAATTATAAAATCTCTATTATATTTCAGATTAGATTTAAATTTAATATGCAACCATCTTATAGTATTTATAATGACTAATCGGATGCAAGTTTTAAATTCCAAAACCCGAATAGCCGGATTCATAACCGAATACGGATTCCATTTACAGCCCTTCAATCAATAAATACGGGTTTGATAGAATCAGGTAAGTTTGTTACCTAATTAAACTTGTATATCAGTACAATAGCCAAACAGGAAGAGTTTAGGTAATAGGTCTGACAACTATAATAATGATTATGTACCTTCTATAACGAACAAAATTGCATGCTAGGCTAGGCTATAGCCAGGAAGGTTGTCAAGAGTCTTAGCTCGTTAGCTTACTCGGTTTCTCTCCTCCTCTAGAGATAGAAGATTAGCTTCATTTGAACAAGATTACATTACTAATCTCAGTCGATCATTCAAGGGTGAATCTCATAGGAATAAAAAAAAATAGAGCATTGGGTGAAAACATTTAGGGCCCCACAATTGGCTTAAAATAATATTATTTTCTTGAATCAAAAACACAAAAGAATGTATTTTCTTGATTGTGTAAAAAAAAAAGAAAAAGAAAACATTCATGTTGAAGAATACCCCTTATTTTATTTATATATTTATTTATTTATAGAATATTACATGTTATACATTACCGATTACCGAGGACAGAGCAAGGTGCACATAAGGTCCATTAACCTTATCAGGGAAAGTCTATAGTGAGGTTTATCCCACGCCTCCATATTCAGAGAAACAGAGGGACACCCAAGTGACCATTTCAGCTGGAAAGCCTATAGTGGGGTTGATCCCATGCTTCCATATTCAGAGAATAGAGGGACACCCAAGCAAGGTTTAAAATATCAATATAGAGCGATACACCATTAGGGCATATCGATACTGTTTTTTAAGTATTTTTTTTTTTTTCTGAAACTGATTCAAGGGGACGATTTAAGGTTGATTTACCCTCTGAACCACTTGCCGACCCAAAATACCCCTATAAGGATGTATCGGAAAGGCTTCAATACAATATATATCGATCGATATATGACAAAATTTTGATCCTTGCACTCAAGTAGACCTGTTCATGAGTCGGGCTCGTGCTGGGCTTTCACTCTGTATTTACAGAATTTTCTAAGGCCCGAGCCCAAGCCCGGCCCGACCATCGGGCCTACAACTTGGGCCCGAGCCCAACCCTCATAAAAAGCCTGAAGCCCGGGCCTGGGCCCGAGCCCGAAATTTAGCCCATATTGTTAACGGCTGAATAGAGAGAGAGAGATATTATAAAGAAAATAATAAAAAATGTATATATTAAATTATAAATATATATTTTAATAAATATTATATTATTTATATATTTTATATAATATATAAAATACATATTATATCTTTTATAAAATATATAATACTGAGTCGGGCCAGGCTTTTTTAACAAATTCCAAGCCTAACCCAAAATACAGTCGGATTTACTGTGTTAGGCCCGAAGTCAAACCCACGGATCTAATTACATGACCAAACCTTACCGAGGTGCAGGCCGGTCATTGGCTATTAGTTATTGGCATGGGACTCCATAGTTCATTGATTAATAAAATGAATAAAATGACTGACAATATCTTTTATGAGATTTGGACCTATATGACCCTAGTAAATATATAACATCTAATCAACTTTATTGATAGATACATAATAATTGAATTCAACTACGATGCATTCATTAATATAAAATATATCTTAAATTCATATCTCAATTAATTATGTTAAAGTCGGTTACTTTTCATTATTTCACATTTCATGTATTTTTAATTTAACAAATACATCATGGATTTTGTTATATTAATTATTAATTTTACGTAGATATAAGAATACTATTGTATGGGCTGCATAGGAGTGGATCTACATCGATTTAAAACATAAATCAGCTTAATTGGATTATTTAATTCTGAATTCAAACGGATACCATTTACAGCCCAATAGAGAGAGAGTGAGTTGCTGCTAGGGGTGTCAATGGACTGGTTTTGGGTTGGATGGACCAATAAGATATATTAAATTTGGACGGACTGGATGGACCAATATGACATATTGGATTGGACCTGGTTCATTCAAAATGAATTTATATTGGATTGAGCCAATATCTAGTCCATTGATAGAAGGTAAGAACATAAGTGTCAATGGACCAGATTTGAGTTGAAACCAATCTAAATTAACAGGAATTTGAACAGATTGGACAGTCTCTGGACCAGTCTAATTAAAATGATCCAAAATATTCATTGAACTGGATTGGACCAGATCTATTTATAATGGACCCACATTGGACTGGACCGGATTGGACCAAATCCAGTCTAATTGACACCCCTAATTGCTGCAGTAGTAGAATCATATCCTTTACATGGCTTCGCATATGGACAGTTTTCTCAATACAATGTGTAATGGTCCCAGGCTGTCAATAGCTAAAACTCTGCTTCTAACAAACCATATTGGCCCATCAAAATCTACAAATTGACTGCTTGCAAGATCAGCCCTACAGAAGGTTAGTTTGAATGCAACATATTCTTGTGTCAGGTTATAACCAGACAAGTCTCTTTAGATCTTTCTTCAAAGAATTGCTAGTGTTTAGGGTTGACATATGAATATCATCATCCCCACTCAAATTTGACATATCGTGCCTAGTGTACGTGGGGACTAAGATCCATCTCTGAATGGGTCTTATCGAGGAGATTACCTATGCCACCCAACAATCCTGTCAAATTATCTTAATCCAAAGGTTGGTTTGGTTGGATTGCATTGAGTTGGGACAAACCCAAGAGAGAGGATGTGGCCACTGATGTCATACACACACAGACAGAGAGAGTCATTTCACAAGAGTTTGGATTTTCTCCTCACATAATGGTCTTCACATTCATCTCAAAACACGTTGCAGCCGCACATCAAGAACATCTATCTATCCATATATAAGGAAATGATCTTAATGTGCAATTGCAAGTGCTATGAGGTGGGTCTGAGGATTATTTTGTAAGGAGGAAATCAGTATTGATTTCACAAACCCTTTTAAATTAAGGGTTTTCTCCTCACACCCACTGACCCATCTCAAATTATATTGCAGCTGCATACATATTGAGAACATTTCCCATACTTGTATGTTTCAATTCTTGGGGAGAGTACAAGAGTGGTATGAGGTGGATGCGAGGCCCATTCAATTAATGAGGAAGCAATCGGGATTCACAGCAGTAAAAACATCCCAAGAATTTTCCACGTGGCAAGAATTGTTGGGAGCACAAAAGGACCATGACACCATGTGTTACTTTCTCCAAACATTGTTTGGTCATGGGATAAACTGTAACTTGAGAAATTTGCCATGTGTGAAAAGTAATTCTTATTTTGGTGCAAGATAAGAAATCAGAAATGGGGAGCTAATCCCTTCTCATCCATGAGCACCATTTATGCTTAAACATATCCAAGGTTTAGTAACAAAAATCCTAAGTTTACTCAGACATTGTTAATTGAGCAAAACCAGAACAAGCCAAGAAGGTGGGGCATACAGGGCCAAGGGCTGACTTGGACAACGGGACTGAACATTTAATGCCATGGACACCATCTGACGAGGGGTCGTCTAACTCACCACTCTCATGTGGACAGATGGAGAGAGAGAGAAGATGAATTAGATGGTGGAGAGTCATCTGATCATGATAACGTTTCTCTTTCTCAGAAAGAGTGAAGAAGACTTGCAAGGATGAGCGCATGGATCATTACAGGAAGTGTTATAATAACAGCAGGTCAGAGAACAGAGGAAGCACACCCAGACCCAGAAGCAGAAGACCAGACCACAGAAAGGGGGAGCGAGAGCCTCTGAGACACGGCATTGAGGATGCAACAAGTAAACAAGAATGGAGGAAAAGGTCAAAAGCAGAAGGTGGTGATTGGTGAATGCCTCCAAAGTTTTCTACGAAATGACAAAACCGTGACTGGGGGTATGGACATGGTTTGATGTGCCGTGTACCCTCTCGTTTTTATACTAAACACCGACCAAAAAGCGAGCTTTCTCGCCAGTTGCCCCACCCACTCCTATATGTAATATATTCCAACGTTCAGGGCCATCTCCACAGCCCTTCGACACCTGTGGGCTGTGTGTGGCGTGGTCTGCCTTCTGCCGTTGAACGTAGGAGCCTGGAGCCCTGATTCTCGCGCTGCTGCTCCGGCGATGGCCGCCGGGTGGCCTAGTCTTGGCATTCTCGGGCTGAGTCAAAGCTCACGAGTGTGCCTTCACATGACCCACTTCCACTTGCCATCGGACGGCTATAAATAAATGCCCAGTGCCCCAGCCTATAATATGGTTGTCTACCGTAAACCCCGGGGGCCCCACCCCAAGCATCCAGATGGGACCAGACAGAAAGTAGGCCAATAATTCTCAGTGGCAAGAGCAAGAGGAAAAAACGTGGAAACGAGCAGAGAAACACAGCAGCAATAGCAATGGTAACTGAGGTACTACCATGAAAACGGTAAAAGCTTCTATCTTTTTCTAGTTTTTTTCTATTCCCAAATATTCTCCACTCCTTGACGGAAAGCAACGGCCGGCTTTTTGTCGGTATCTGCAACGCAGCTCTGGAGGGCCCATGGAAGTTTGGATTTTCGCTCTAAAGTTCACGAGCAAATGTTCCATCCTCGTCACTCTGCAACAACATTACATTACTCTCTATCTCTCTCATCCTCTCTCTTTCTCTCTTATCCCCTCCATGCTTCTTCCCGTGATACAAGCATGTCTCGTAATTCCATGGCTTCCACATCTTCGTCCTCCCCTCCTCCTAATTGCCATGACCGCAAGAAATTAGACGTTGAATCCATACGGCTACTTGTCATCTCTGTTAATCAACATATTCTCCAATTCTTAACAGACCCAGATACCCGTAAGTCTCTACGCTTAAGATGCACCTCCAAGCTTAAGATTCAGAAGCAGGAGTTCTTTGAATTCTCTGAGCAGTCGGTCATGTCAAATCTCTTCTGGGGCATCGAGAACGTGGAGGCTGCAATTCAGTCTAGGCTGCCGGAAGAGAGAGCCTCACGGCTGAAAGATTCAGAACAGATGCTCCAGGTTCCGGCATTGCTCGACGAGCATGGAACCACGGGTGGAATTCCGAATCGTCACTTGGTCTGCTATTCCTACTTCTACCTCTCTCTGGTTCGGAAGCTCCAGCAAGACGAGTGGCAAGTGGCATTGCACTTCCTCCAAGCTCTGCTGGTTTCCCCAAGGCTTGTTCGCCTTGAATTTGCAACCAACCTCTGGGAAAACATCTTTCTTTCTCAAATTATGTCCAGAAGGAGTGGAGTGGGTGGGTGGAGAAGGTTGCATTCTGAGCGTCTCGTTGATTATAGCGAGGATACGATTGATGAGGCCACGAGGCAGCTGGCAAGGAGATACAAGAACTGGTTGATGTATTATCAGGTGACATTATATGGAGAGACACATAAGCTGCACTGGGGCTGCAGTGTTGCTTCTCCTATGGAGAACGAGTCAAGAGATTCCATGTAAGTTCTCCCTCTGTTTATTCAGTCCAAACCACATTCGAGAAGGTTAGACTTAGAACCAGTCCAACCAGAAACAAAGGATATCTTAAACTTATTAATGCTCTTGGCCAAATTCAGTGAGACCCCCCAAAAGGGGAAGCTTTTGTTTATGGGAAGTACGTACCAGTGGAATCAACTTATGCGCCCAAATTTAGTTGGGTCTGTGAAAGAGATGCTACTAATTTATTATGTTACAGTCAGTTGAAAGAGCATCCAACACTAGTCATACATAGAATTCCACTAATTTTACCTTCAGTAGATAAGGCGGAGGCAACCTAGACAACCAAAATAGTCATGAAACTAAACATGCTGCATACAATAAACCATTTGTTAGATAATATTTCGGTAGTAATGGAAAGTTACAGCAAACCAATAGTGTAAGCAATCAAATTAATAGAAAATTCAAATCTGATCAACAGATACGAGATCCTCAAGATGAAAGATGAAAAACTTGTAGACAATGAAACATATGAGTGCAAAATTCAAGAACAGAGTATAGAAAGCAGAAATAAAATATAGAACAGGACCATGCGCGTGACAGGGCACAGTATGCGCATGTTAAGCCCAGCCCCATACTCTCTTACTGTCTATAAGATATGCAGTGACGAGAAGCAAATACTAATAAGCTCAATTGGAGTTCCTTTCCTAGTCCATGTGGGACTATAGTGCTTTTCGCTATACAAGATAAAAATGAAGACTAGTATAAATGCTTTGTAAACTCTAAAAACCAGAGTTTAACAGAGGCGCAGAGGACATTAAAACACATTAAAAAACAAGTAGAAAACAGGGGGAAAACTTTAAACGAATTGAATCACAACAATAAAACTTCCAACACCATTCAAACTGTCATGCTTGTTTCCATAGGAATCTATGTGAAACTGTGAGCAGTGTTCTTCAGAATCATACTGCATTATTTTGAAGTGCAGCTCAGTTGATCAATTCTTCCACTAGAGGAGTATAGCAAGAGGTTTCATACAATATCAGTAGGAGTTTAATGTACCAGAGTCTTTTCTCATGTGTAGACAGCTTATATATTTCCATGAACAACAGCTCCAATTTTGATCAAATTGGCACAGTTAATTAAATTTATCATTCTGGTTTTATAAACGTTGATCTTTATGCACAGAAATCAAAGTGATATTGGAACTTCCAATCCTGCCTACCAGACTCAGACAAACCCAAAATAAAGTTTGCCAACGCAGAGTAGGAAAGAACAATGCATAACTAGTAGACTGAGTCAAGTAACAGAGACCATTGTTAATTTGCAAATTTAAAACCACCTCCTTCCCCAACATGGAACTTCTACTAGAAGAAGGATTTCTTCCATTTAAGGTGGATTACCATACAAATGAAGCATATTTATTTAATTAGGACATGTGATTCCATTAATTGGAATAAGGCTTTGTTGAGTTGAATTGAATGTGCAGCTTCAAAATCTGCATAATGTAATCTATAAGAAAAACAGCCCTTTCATGTAAGTTTTGAAAACAAAATCTGACTGAAAGATTTTACCAATCCCCACCATGCTCACTTTCTAACTTTTTTGTATATTGAAGACCCACTGAAATCCATTTCTCTCCCAACAGAACCTTAAGGCTATGTTTAGTTTGAAGTAAAAGGTAGGGAAAGGAAGGGAAAGGTAGGGAATCCTATACAGAACCTTGTATAGGATTCCCTACCTTTCCCTAACTTTTCCTTAAAACCAAGCACAGCCTAAAGGATATAGAATTCCTGCAGGATCTCATAATTAATGTTTGCTTTTAGGTACGGAAAGAGCACTGGCACCAGGTATATGGACTCAATCGAACATGGAACTAGCAGGAGAATTTATCAAGACGTAAGCCTTAGATTTTCTTTGCTTCTACATTTCTAAATAACATTCTAATCTGACTGCAGTGTTAACTGAAAGTGAATATCCATTTATAAATTTTGCAGATTAGTTGTTGTAAGGTTTCAGGGTCATCATTAATGTGACCATAAATTTAGGGGATAAGGGACAAGGATCAAAGATCCTTCAGACCATACCCAGGCCAGAAATAGAATTCTATCATGTACATACATAAAACAGGGCATACATAGATATGTACTTATGTCTATTTATCATTCATAATGTGCTTGGATTTTGGAAATTCATTTCTAGAGTTTATCATTATCATGAATATCATTGACTTAAAAAAGAATAATTAACACAATGATTAATCTTTATCAGTTTGAATGGTGTATTTCTAATTAATGCAGCTTGGAAAGGTCTATCCACTTGATCTTCAAGAACATAACATTGATGAGATGGTAGACAAAGCCATGGTATCTACATTCAGTTCAGAGAAAAGGAATACCCATCTCCAAGATGATAGCAGAAATCTTCTTAAAAAATTAAAAGAAATTGGTGACAGGGAAATCAAAATGAGCTTAGGTGTCAAATGCCTTCAGGATATGCTAGAGGAGTCTCAATCAGCTACTCCAACTTCTGTTTACTCATTTAGTGATTCTGATGAAGAAAGTGATTCAAAGGTAATTCTTCAAATGCCAACCTGACATACCAATGTTTCTGTTGCCCCGGGGATTCTGAATAAGATTATTTCATTGTTTACCCAGCGCATCTCCCTGAAAGGATTTCTTATAACTAGTAGGCAAAACAAATTAGCATGGACCTATGGATAGTGATTTTATGTTTCAATGCGACAAATAACTTTGATACTTGGATAGGCAAGAATTCAGATGCCTTGACGTTTGTTTTTTCTTTATTACCAGGAAAAAATGGATATAAGTGAAATTTCAGATAGAATTGTGGCAACAAATACAGTTGATTCACAACCAGAAAATGGTGATAGGTACTCATGATTTATCCAAAAAAGAAGTTTATCTAAGCTTAGTGTGGTTAATTTTCCATTTCTGCTTGTTTTTCTAAATTAAATTCACTGGATAATACAGGATGCTGCAATCATTTTGCGCAACATCAAATCTAGAATGTGTAGAGGTAGCTCCACCAGAATTTATTGAATGTTTGATGCATGAAGAAATCCCTGAAATTAATACCAATTATTTCTTTTCTACCAGATCCTGTAGTCCCATCGAAGACCTTAACCTTTCTGACTCAGAACTGAGAGACATATATCCACATACATTTTGCAATTGCCATATGGAGGAAATTCGAAGAAAGCAGTATGATTTTGGATTTTGTGGCCATATGCCAGCTACATATCTGCAGAGATGTTGCTTCACCACGATGGATAACCAGGAGGCTTCTGCAAAGAGAAGCCCAGACTCAAATATCAGGAACTCCAGTGAAGTATTCTTACATAAAGAGGAAGATAATCAAATGGAAATTCTTGGAATATTTGAGAAAGCAGTTTCAACACTGAGCTTATTGGGAGAGGAAGGGAAATGCAAAAATAGTGCAGATAGTGGACTTGAATGGGGGATATTGACCAATAGAAAAGAGACAGAATTTCGCCAACTAAAGGATGTGATCCTTGATCAATTGATAAATACTATTTCAAATTCAAAAGAAGAGGGGATAATAAGGGCATCAATGTCTATGCTATCAACTTTGATTTCAGAGAACAGGTCAGTAATAGAAGATATTAAGATAAAGGGCCTACATTTGTGTGATTTGGCAAGTGCTCTAAAAAGAAATGTTCACGAAGCAGCCATCCTTATCTATTTGATAAATCCATCACCTACAGAAATTAAAGATTTAGAACTTTTACCAGCACTGTTGGACATCGTGTGCAATTCAAATAGATATAAGCAAGGGTCTATATCACTTATGCTGACACCTCCTGCAGCATCATTAATGATGATTGAAGTATTGGTAACTGCATTCGACTATGCTACTAACAATATGCATTTGGCCACAATCAGTTCACCTCAGATTCTCTCTAAACTCATCGATGTTGCAACATATAAGAGTTTGGATGAGTTCATTTCTTTGGCTCACATCCTTGTAAAATGCATGCGGTTTGATGGAAATTGCAGAAATTTTCTATCACAATGTAATGGGTTAGATCAGTTTATCAGTCTTCTAAGAAGTCAGGAAAAGCATGCCAAGTTTGCTGCACTTGAATTTTTTCAAGAAATTCTTCAGATGCCACGGTATGTGCAAATATCTAAAATCCTTTACCTAGGATTATTAATACTTAACTATGCTGCCATATCTATAATTGAGACCAGCAAGACAGTTAAGTGGAAAACATATCAAGCAATCATTTACTTGTAAAACATGCCAAGAAGAAAAATTTCCTACATACCACAAGTATGTAGAAATGCATCTTACTTCTCAAATTATGCATAAACCAAGGTCTTCCCCCTCAATACCCTTCTCTCAAAGAAAGTTAAGAGCAGTTTATATATATATATATATATATATATAGTGGAAGAAGCAGTTATATAATTTCTGAGAGGGTATTCGTTGACATGCACCTGATTTCTTTGTGCCTACTCTTTAAGGCCTGGAAGGATATTGTGCAATATGATTGTTATGCAGTATGTTCCAAATGCTAAGATTAAACAGCACACAGCAACTTACCATGGTTCTAAGAAAGAATTCTAGGATTCACTTTTTCCTATTTGTATCAGGTCATCAGCCATTAGCCTGTTGCATCGAATACGACAAACAGGAAGCCTTAACATTATGCATGTGCTAGTGTCTGGCATCCAACAGTTACAACCACGACATCGACTTTTGGCAGCAAATCTGTTGCTCCAACTAGACATGCTGGTAAAGTCTACTGTTCAACCAATTTCATTATTTATAGGTTGTATTTATGTCATAATCTTCCTAGCTTACTTTTATGGAAAGAATCTTGTGAAAGAATTTATTAGGAACTAAATTCATCAATGCAAAAATTCCAACCATGAGCACAGAATACAGGTGTAAAATTCACCGGAGTTTTAAACTAAGGAATGATTGCTTCCTGCTACAGGAAGCTTCAGTATACCAGGGTATGTTGTGACCAAGTTTTATTCTTGTTGTACGCAGATAACACAAGATGCAACAATTCCTTGGTATTTATCATTTATAAGCAGATCTAGTGGTGCATAATTCCACTGGAAACTCAACTTGACATCATTGAACTGTCAACATTTTGCAGGAAGAACCATCTGGTAAAAGTATATTTAGAGAAGAGGCTATGGAGGTCCTCCTGGAGTCGATTGCATATGAAGAAAGTTTTGCTACACAGATATTATCTGCATCCATTCTATCAAATGTTGGTGGAACTTATGCTTGGACAGGCGAATCATATACGGTGGCATGGCTGTTAAAAAGGGCAGGTTTAACTTCATTGTGTCACTGGAATATGATTAAAAATGTTGATTGGTTGGATCACAGTCTACAGGTGTGTAGTGATAAAACTTGTACATTGATGTAATTTAAAACTAATATCTAATATCAGGTCACCTGGGTACCAGTAATATAGATGATATAGAACTATAATCTTGCAGGATGACAGCATAGATCCATGGTGCAGCAAGGTTGCCCGAAGCATGATTAAGATAGGGAATCCTGTCTTCCATGCTTTGGAGAAGGGACTGCAGAGTAAAATAAAGAGTGTATCACGGGACTGTCTCACAGCTATTGCTTGGCTAGGATGTGAAATTGCTGATGGTCCAACCAACCTCAAATTTTCTGCCTGTGAGATATTATTGAATAGAATAGAACAGTTTCTGCACCCAGGATTGGAAATGGAGGAGAGACTTCTAGCATGTCTATGCATATATAATTATGCTTCTGGTAGAGGTATTGTGTTTCTTTTTTTTCCCAATATTTCATAGTTATATTTTCTAAGTTGGAATAAATAAAGAGAAAATATAATTCATCTGAAAATGCAATGTCCTTCCAAGCCCCCATCATCAAACCTTGCAATAACTAGCTTGGTTTGGATTTTCTAAATGTAGGCATGAAGAAACTAATTCATCTTTCAGAGGGGGTTCGAGAATCACTGAGACGTCTTTCAAGTGTCACCTGGATGGCCGAGCAATTACTGAAAGTAACTGATTATTTCCAACCCATTACATCGGTGAGTCTGGTTATCTTTCTTTTATTCTTTAACACCAAATTTCTCCAGGTGGAGGGGACAAACTGAAAATTTTACTAATGAAAGAGGGTTAAATATGGACTAGGAGGACATAGAAGTGTTAACCTTCCAAAGAAAAAAATAAAAGTAGCCAGCTAAGAATTTACAAGTACAAAAATAACCAGCTGGCTTGCAATCCCCAAAGTCTAAAGCGCCTTTGTTTTATTTTATCTTACTTTTTGGAAAAAAAAAGTATGATGTTGTATTAAATTCTCCACTTTGAAAATTGTACCATGTACAGCAAGGAATTATATGTCCTCAAAATTATAGGGGCCAGTTTTTCTGAATCACAACAAAGATAACAACTCATGATGGAGAAAACCCCTTCATTTTTCATTTATTATTTAGCGACTTTACTAAATAATAAATATGCCATCATCCTGAATGCTTGGTCAGAATGGCCCAACAATTATCTTCATGATTTCATGTTTAATATTTCAGGTATCAAATGTAATGCCTTCATATACCCATGAAGCTCATGAAACCCTTTCTTCCTCAAAAATCCTTCCAATTACACACTATACTAAAAGTGCAGCATCACAAGGGAAGGAAATAGATTCTCGATTGCTTATCATTGAAAGCAAAATAAAGAAATAAGAAAGAATCAGTGGATAAAGTGCAATGATAGAACAGAGTTTTATAGTGGACCTAAGAAAATTAGGATAAGGTCCAGTTGAGTTCAATTAACTATATTGGAGCCAGGTTCCAGCAATGGTCACTATAATTACATGATAAAAGAAAATATTTGACAAAATTTTTAGACGATTATATAATAATATGAATTTCAAAAACCTGGAGAAGAAGACTAAAAAATACCTAAAGAAGAAGACAATGGAGAGGCTTAAGGGAAGAACATTTAGGGTGGATCAACACTCTCACTTGATATTTATATTTAATGAAATAAAGGGAGAAAGTACAAGAATACCTATGTAAAGCTATAATTAATTTGTTGTATAAAACTAAAGCACAGAATCAAAAGGTTATAACGAAGAAAGTGTTTTCCCAAGAGCCACATTGAGACATGGCCAACATGTATGTCCACCATTTGATGTAGCATGCTTTCAAAATATGGGTCCCCTATTACCGGGCATGTCTTTTATAATAAAAATTCAATTATAATCTATCAATTATTTGTCACTGTAACCCATCTATCAGAGCAATCAAAGCCAAGCTAACTAATGTTATTATCCATTTACTGGTAATTGTAAGAACAGCGTGTTTCTTGTGTACATACACAAATCCTGGAGGCAAGTCAGAACTGCAGTGGGGCTGCAAATGCTCTCATCTACTACAAAGGACAGCTTTTCAGTGGTTACTCAGATGGCTCAATTAAGGTACATGTTTGCAGTATGTGTGGGATAGTTCCTTCAAAGTATTTGGTTCTGATCAATATTGTGCAATATCTTAACAAGAATACTTTTTAAATAAAAAAAAAATCTCCAAGCCAATACTTGGCTATTGATAATCATGATTGGCTGACTCAGCTGGCCATATAACAATAGGGCAGAAGTAGGCCCAGTCCACCCCTCAAAAGATTTCATAGTTGTGACCAGCATTGAGTAATCTCCTTAGGTATGAGTTCATATTAAGTTAACAATTGGTGTGGATTGAAACAGGTATGGCACATCAAGGGACAAAGGGCCACTCTTGTATGGGATATCAAGAAGCACAAGAAGGCAGTCACATGCTTTGCACTTTTTGAACCAGGGAACAGTCTTCTGAGTGGATCTTCTGACAAGACAATCAGGGTATCTAATATCACCATCACTAATAGCAAAACAGTTACCTGGTTTTCCATGGGTATGATAGGAAAAACATAATTAATTATCATCTAGCCTGTATTTAAATTCCTTCTATAGGTTTGGCAAATAATTCAACGGAAACTGGAATGCGTTGAAGTGATAGAGACAAAGGAGCCAGTTTGTAAAATAGATACAAGTGGACAACTAATTTTTGTATTAGCTCAAAGCCGTGGTATAAAGGTAAGAAGGCTCTTTTTAGTTTTGCAGTTTGAAATGAAGTTTCTACTACCTTGTTTCAGTGACTATGTTGATGGGGAAACCAAAAATTCTACCACCTTATTTTCAGATAACCATCCCGGTAACAGTGGAAAATCCTTATTTTCAGGTGTTTGATGAATCTAGAAAGATGAAAGTTATATGCAACAATAGACATGTGAAGTGCATATCTGTAATTCAAGGAAAATTTTATGTAGGTTGCTTGGATTCAAGCATACAGGTTGGTTTGAATTTAATACATCAAATGAAAACTTTTACAGCATGTAAAACCCATAAATGAAATCCAACTCTAATTTAGGAGGTAGATATAATGAGCAATCGGGAGAGAGAGATCAAAGCACCTGGAAAGAGCTGGCTATTACAAAAAAAGCCCATCAATGCACTTCTTGCTTACAAGGACTGGCTGTACAGTGGAAGTTCCAATATTGAAGGTTTAAATTTCAAGGTACATTCTAAAATTATAGGCTTAGGTTCTAAATGCACAGAAGCGGCTTCCACTGATTGGAGGAATTATGCAGGAACAGAGAAGACTTAACAAGCCTCAAATGTCAATAACAACAGAGAAAGGAGCGGTTGTGCAAGCAATGGCAGTAGTAGAGGACTTCATATACTTGACTTGCAGCTCATCTCCAAGCATCCTTCAGGTGATTTGATTATTTGAAACAACTTTTGCATTTCTGCAATATGAAGTCTGGAGGATAACCTTGGAAAACATTACCTACCAACAGAACATTGGTAGACATGATGCACACGAAAAATAAAAATTGAACCCACCTCGGAATTGTAAAAATCATCCGAATTGTTCAACTAGTAGAGATGTTCTAGGTGGAATTTATCCAAAGTTGATCATCCTGTACATATGCACCACATTTATCAGTATAGCACTGTAAACCAACCTGTGCCATATAAAATAGGTACCATCACCTTTTTTTTCTATAAACGCACACGAATCAGTCGTCTATAATGGAACTTTTGCTTTGGCTCTTTAACCAGATATGGTTGAGAAGTACCCAAAAGAAAATAGGAGGATTGTCAGCAGGCAGCAAGATAACAAGTCTCCTCACTGCAAATGACATTGTTTTATGTGGTACAGAGACTGGGTTGATTAAGGTGCAATCACTTGACTCATTTAACATTTTGTAATATGGCTTTGTTCCACGAATGTTCTCATTTTAACATCTTGTTTCTCCCTAAACGACAGGGCTGGATCCCTCTCTGATGGGCAACTTAAGTGGAACGATGAAGCTTGGATATCTATATCAGAATACGTATATGATACTTGTGAATATTGACAGGAAGTTGATTGTTTGATTCAATTCCGTCACCATGAAGAAATTTAGCAGTCTTGCGAGTGGTGGTGGAGACTACTATGGAATAAGGAAGTGTACGATAGTACAATATCAACCATGAACATACTCTCTCGGATGAATGTTAGTTGTGTACATCGACTGTAAATGCATTTTGAAGATTAAAGCGAAAAGGAAAAGAAAGAGAAAGTTCAGTGTTTTTTTCATTTTTGTTTCGTTTACCAATGCCTCCATGAAGCGAAGTTTAAAGGTTCGGTCAACGATTTTCGGGGAAAAAAAAGCAAACAAAACTTGGTGTTTTTGAGAGAAATGTAACTATACAAGCATTGCTAAATAAAAACATCTCTGTACATGAGATTCTATGAAAAAATACTACAGAAAAAAGAAAATAGAAAGCCCTAGACCTTAGTACCACACTGTACCACTAGCTTCTCCATGGCAGCACTAGTGAATATCCGGAGTTCATCCTGGATATTTGTTCTTAAATAGAGATAACCTGAGTCTCGAAGAAATATGTGGTCGAGTGGCTTATGGAATAAATAAATCCAGTGAGAAATGTTTCCAAATGATAAGAGGCTACTTCATGCTAAAATTAAATCCAAAGGTTTATAGGTTAATTTAGAATGAAAGAAAAGGTAAAGTAAAATAATTATTACATGCATAAATTCATGTTTCCACATGCCCACACAAACATATGGAAAAAAGGTCTGAAGTCAAAATTTTGACATTCAAATGGGCTATTTCTGCCGTGGGGGAATCCGATGGCATATCAAAGACCAAGTTCTTTTCTATAGTAGATAAGAGGACCCTAGGTCGCTTAGAGAAGCTCGGTAAACAACCATAGTAGAGAGAGAGGGGGGAGATCAAACTTCATTCCCATCTAAAATACCTCCATATTTTAATGTCATTCCACTAGATTTTTTTTTTTTTGGTGTAAAATGCCATTTCACTAATAAAACATTAACATTCTGCAGTACAAAAAAACTCGATGGTCCCCACATCTGGGGATCAAATGTCGCATAGTCTAATCTCCGGTCTCCCAAGCTGGATGGTTATCCAGTTCTAATCTTCCTCCTCCATTGCCTGATCTTTTTGCTTTATTAGCCCACCTTCGTTTCCTAAGACAAAAGGGAACATGTGGAATCAGAAATTGAAGAACCAAGAAACATAGTAGAAAAGACCATATTCGTTCAATATATACAAGTTTAAAATTGGAGAAAAAATAAAGAAAGAACTACAGAAAGAATTCCTCGTAGCCAGAGCAATTAGTTTCTTTAGTCCAATTCCCTTCATGCTCCTTAATGAATGCGAATTATTTCATTATATTCAACCAAGTTCTTCAATAGAAATTAGAGTCAGAGAGAAAGTGCCATTAAACGATCCAAGTGGCTTTTTCGGAAAAAACAAAACAAAAATAAAGCACCATTAAACAATCCGTGGGGCTTATAATATGACATTAACGAACATCCAAGATGAAAAATGAACTTACCATATTCATTGAAGATGACCCCACCAGTACATAATCCTTCCTCTACTTTGATGAGTTGAAGTGTCATCCTAGGTCCAATCTCTTGAAGCTTGACAGCACTTTTTGTTGAAGCCTTGTTAACTCTACCGATATCGCTTGATAGATTTACTGTTGCTGCTTCATCATCTGCTTCACTTTCTGACCCGTAACCCGCCCTTCGAAGGAAACAAGTAAATGAACGTTTTTATCAGTAACAGATGAAGAGAGATGAAGACTGGAAGATGAAACTCCCATGAACAATGTTTAGCAAACACAAACCAGGATGGCCAAACAAATATAGACAGAGGAAGATGCATATGACAAAAACATGTAACAAATATTTTTTCCCTGAAAACTTTGGAATGGGCATAAATCTAAGTGAGCACGTACTGTCATATCATGGCATTAAAAAAACTATAAATCTTATGTGATTTTAACCACTGCCTGAGTCCCAAAACTCTATTTGTCTAGTTTGTTCACAAAGTTTACTATATGTTATTCTGTATGTAAAACTTACATTTTTCCTTTATAATGCTATCGGAAGATCAAGTTAAAAAGGTTCTTGTGACTATACTAATTAGAAACTCATGTAAATTTTTTTTATCAATATTAGACACTCAGTAAATTATTTCCCCTAAAGATGAATTATTACAGGTAAGAAAATTTTCATGATTGAATTAAACAAGAAAAAATAAAATACATAAATTCATATAGCATATCAGTGATATATTGGCAAAAATGCTCGACTCTCTTAATCAATCAAAAAGATAAAAGAAGAAAAAATATTGGTTAAATGATAAGTACAATATTTACAACAGATTATAATAACTCATCAATTATCCCTATTCCCTAATTCATCATAATCATCATCTAAGTGTTATCCCAACTATATGGCACAAGGCTGAATCCTGTTTTGCCATTCCTTTCTGTTTAGTGTCATATCCATCCTAATTAGATGAACAATGTCATCAACAGAAAATTCTAAATATCAAATGGTTAATCTAGGCTACAGAAGGAAAAACATAAGGAGCTTAAATACAGTTAAAAATAATTTTTTGATCAGTAGCAAGAAATATTTTATTAATTAGAAGAGAAAAAATTGAGCAGCCTTGGCTACCTCATTACACAGAGAATCAACAAGAAAACACAACAGTAAGAATGAATAAAGCATTACAATTGAGCCCAAAAGCACTGTGCCCTGTAATCCCCTTATTTTGCATGTTGATCTGCAATGTTATTAGCCGACCTTGGGACCCACTGAAATTCCACCTGCCTATTACTTAGCAATCTTCTGACCGTTTTTATCTCATTCTGAAAGTACCATGGGGCTTTTTCAGGCTGTTTCATCCAGCTGATGATTACCTTTGAATCTCCTATTATCAATTTATGGACACTCCTATTTCAACAGCTTTTTGTATCCCAAACGCCATAGCATCCTATTCTGCTGTTATGGAGTCCCCTGGGCTAAGAGGGCAGGAATATAGTCCCAAAATTGCTCCACTGTCATCTCTTATCACCCCTCCTATTCCAGAGGGCCCCGGATTACCCAAACTGCTTCCATCAAAATTTAGTTTAAGGAAGCCATTCACCAGTGGATCCCATGATTTTATCAGTTTCCTCTTTGAATGAGAAGAAGCTGCTATTACCTGCCAGTTCCTGGTTAAATCATCATGACTGAAGTCTGAAAACAGACTTAAAGTCTTAACCCAATGTACCACCCTTACCATAGTCCCCTTCTATCACAGCTTCCTTGCTTCTTTTCTTTTCCTTAAAGATTCTCAGGTTTCTTTCCTCCCAAATGGTCAATATGATTGCTGCCCTCATACATCTCCACATTACTCTCCCTCTTTTTTGGCCACCTGAAAGTAGAAGGGTCAAACAACCTGTCCAGACTTCCTGGAGTGTGTTGTGGATGCGTTCATAGGGAGGACGTACAGCCGCCGACAGCAGCAGTGAGGAGGGGCCCACAAGGGGCCCACAAAGGCGGCAAATTATCTCAGCTCATCTTATCTTATTCTTAGTAGTTTCCTTATCTTCTAGAGTTTGATTACCAATTAGAAGTAGGAGTCTGTTGATCCTAAAAGTGTGAATTATCCTTATCTGTGAGTATTCGAATTCTACTGGGAGTCTTCCCACACCTCTTGTAATCTCCTATTTAAGGAGCTGCAAATTGAGAATAAAGGATTCAGTTTTCAGTCAAGAAAGAGTAGGAGAGTTAGGGTGATCTCTTGAACAAATCACGCTCAGTTCGCCACCATAGGGTCTGCACGCAGAGGGAGGGGCAAGAGGAAGCTAGAAGTTCTCCCCGTGGACCGACCCGTGACGAGATCCTACGCCCAGGCCCATAACATTTTGATATCAGAGCCAAACGTCATGGGCGACATGGAGCAGCTGTCCTCCAGGGTCCACGATTTGGAACACCGACTCGTGGAGAACCATGCGGAAGTAAGAGAAGTCAAGGAAGATGTCAAGGAGCTTCGTCGCCTACTCGAGTTATACTTCTCCACCAGGGAGAGGAGCCCTGAAGGGGCGACCACCAGCAACAGCCGCCGCCCAGAATTGGCGGAGGAATCCGGCAAACGACCAATCGCCGCCCCAACAGCACCGGTCATACCCAAGTACAGTCGACTGGAGTTTCCCTCATACAGCGACAGCGGCAGCGGCGACCCACTGGTTCATCTGACAAAGTCAGCGCACGGAGGAGAAGGATAAAGTCAGCCTGGCCGCATTTCATCTGACAAAGCACAGCTCTGGTTCTACCGGGTAGAGCAGGAGGAACCAGGTCTCAGTTGGGACCAGTTCAAGTCCTACTGCCTCCTTCGGTTCGGGCCTCCATTAACAAGCAATCCATTGGGAGAGTTAATTAACCTAAAGCAGACCGGAACTGTAGCCGAGTACCAGCAACAATTTCAGACTCTTCTCGCAAGAGCCTCTTCGGTGCGCCCAGATCAACAGGTGGATATGTTCACCGCTGGGCTAGCCGAACCTCTGAGAGTCGATGTAGAGATGCAGAGCCCTCCCAACCTGGTCACTACAATGAACTTAGCCTGCGCCTTCGAGCGCAAGCTACAGATCAGCCGAGGATCTTTCAGCATGGGGCGTTCAACGACTTCTTGGGCAAACCCGAAATCAACTGGAGGAGGGTCTTCGTTGACAGCCAGCAGGGAACGACTCCACTCAGGTAACACTTCCAGACCGGCGCCCAGCATAGGAAGCAACACGACAGCACCCCCCATCAAACGCTTATCTAGAGCTGAGATGGCGGAGCGACGGGCAAGAGGCCAATGCTTCAACTGCGACGAGTTGTACTCAGTCGGGCACCGATGCAAGTGATTGTTCTACCTCCTGGTTGACAAACTGGAGGAAGACGAGGAGGAGCATAGAGCACTAGAACCAGAAAATCTCCCTCCACGCCATCACCAAAATACAGAACTCCCAAACCATGCAGCTACGAGCACAAGTGGCAGGAAAACCAGTTCGCATTCTGGTGGACTCGAGAAACACCCCAATTTTATCAGCCAGCAAGCGGCACTTCAAATGAAACTGCCAGTGGAGGGCAGACCGCAACTTCAAGTAGCCATCGCAAATGGGGAGAGGGTTCACAGTCTGGCAATCTGTCGGAACATCCAAATACAGGTTGAATCAGAACCCTTTTTCGCTGATTTATTTGTACTGCCCCTGGACGAGTTCGATATAGTGCTTGGAGTCAAGTGGCTCATCACTCTAGGCCCTATCCTATGGAACTTCAATGCCCTAACCATGACTTTCAACCTGAATGGGAGGCAAGTCACCTGGCAAGGAACCAAGGTAAGGGCGAAGAGACCGCAGGTACATACTCTCCATGGCGTCACCATGCACACCGCAGAGATAGAGAGACTTCTCACCGACTTTCCAGACGTGTTTTCCGAACCCAAGGGACTCCCACCCGTCCGGTCGTGTGACCACTGGATTCCTTTAATCCCAAGTTCAGAACCCGTCGTCGTCCGGCCATACCGCTACCCGCACCTGCAAAAAGATGAGATAGAAAGACAATGTGCAGAGATGTTGAAACAAGGAATCATCCGCCCCAGCCACTCACCTTTTTCTTCGCCGGTCTTATTGGTACCGAAACAAGACAGCACCTGGAGGTTTTGTGTGGATTATTACAGGGAACTTAACAACAGAACCGTTAAGGACAAGTTTCTGATTCCCGTGGTAGACGAACTACTAGATGAACTCCACGGATCTCAATACTTCTCAAAACTGGATCTCAGATCAGGGTACTTTCAGGTCCGGATGGCCCCCGAGGATGTGGAAAAAACAGCCTTCCGGACGCATCATGGCCACTTCGAATTTCTGGTCATGCCGTTTGGCCTCACCAACGCCCCCTCCACATTTCAGTCTTTGATGAACGAGGTATTTCGGCCCCACCTCCGCAGATTCATCCTAGTATTTTTCGACGACATCCTGGTTTATAGTACATCATGGGTGGAGCACGTTCGTCACCTACGAACTATTCTGGAACTACTACGCCAACACAAACTTTTCCTAAAGCGGGCCAAATGTTCCTTTGGGGAGCAACAGGTACTTTATCTGGGACATGTGATCAGCGGAGAAGGTGTCTCGGTAGATGGCTCCAAGATCCAAGCAATTCAAGTGTAGCCCAAACCTCAGTCCACCAAGGCTCTCCGCGGGTTCTTAGGACTCACCGGATAATACCGCAAGTTCGTAAAGGATTACGGACTCTTGGCGGCCCCATTGACCAAGATGCTGAAGAACGCATTCCAGTGGGATGAAGCAGCAGACGCCGCCTTCTCAACCCTAAGGGATGCACTCTCCTCCACCCCAGTGCTGCGGTTACCAAACTTTGGCCTGGAATTTACAGTTGAATGTGATGCTTCTAGTATGGGCATTGGAGCAGTACTACAATAGCAAGGGCACCCCGTAGCTTTCTTTAGCCGCAAATTGGCTGACCGGCACCTAAAACTACCGGCCTACAAGCGCGAGTTGATTGGACTAGCCAAGGCCGTACAACACTGGAGGCCATACTTGTGGGGTAGACCCTTCGTCGTCAAGACGGACCACTACAGTCTCAAGTACCTACTAGAACAGCGGCTTACCACTCCATCCCAACAGCACTGGGCAAGTAAACTACTCGGGTTTGACTTCCGGGTAGAACACAAGGCAGGGACCTTAAATCGGGCCGTAGATGCACTGTCCAGGCGTGACGAAGATACTATACACCTTTGTGCAATCTCCCGGCCCCGCGTCACCCTATTGGAAAGCATTAGGAGCGTGCTGCCCCAATCACCGGAATGGGGGGACCTGGTTCAAAAGATACAGTCCGGAGCGACCAACCCGAACTAGTCCCTCCACAACGGACTAATACTATACAAGGGGCGGGTATACCTCCCGACAGATTGTCCATTAATCCCCGCCATCATCTCCAGCATTCATAACGCCACACATGAAGGGGTTCAGAAGACGTTGCACCGCGTCCGCACCGATTTCCATTGGCATGGTATGCGAGCTTCGATTCGGGATTTCATCCAAGATTGCTCCATGTGTCAACAACAAAAATGGGAAAATTTACACCCGGCAGACCTCCTCCAACCGCTTGCACTCCCAACACAGATCTGGGCCGATATCTCCATGGACTTCATTGAGGGCCTGCCCAAGGTCGGGGGGAAATCAGTTTTATTCGTGGTGGTGGATCGTTTCTCCAAGCATGCTCATTTCATTCCCTTATCCCACCCATACAGCACAATTTTGGTTGCCCACGTCTTCTTCACACATTTTCCGCTTGCATGGGCTATCCGAATCCATCATCAGTGACAGGGACCCGGTCTTTACCAGCACCTTCTAGAAGGAGCTATTCCGATTGCAGGGTACGACACTAGCTTTTTCATCCGCCTACCATCCACAGACGGACGGGCAAACGGAGGTCGTAAACCATACCATAGAGATGTACCTTCGCTGTTTTGTGGGCGACCAGCCACGGCGTTGGGTGGATTGCCTTCCATGGGCCGAATACTGCTACAACACAATCTATCACTCCTCCCTTGGCATGACTCCGTTCCGGGTTGTCTATGGTCAGGATCCCCCCCGCATGCTGTCCTACGAACCCGGTTCGACACGGCTGGAAGAAGTCGACCGTAGTCTACAGGATCGTGATGCCCTCCTGGCAGAAGTCACTCTCCGCTTACAACAAGCTCAAACACGCATGAAGAATATCTACGATCAGCGCCACAGGGACCTAACTTTCGACCCGGGACAATTCGTGTGGTTGAAGCTCCAACCCTATCGGCAGCACTCTCAAGGGCAGATCTCCCCCTAAATTGGCCCCCAAGTTTTACGGACCCTTCAAGGTGGTACGGCGAATCGGGAAAGTTGCATATCAACTTGAGCTACCAGAGCACAGCAAACTCCATGATACCTTTCACGTGCCCTTGCTCAAGCCGTTTATAGGAACCCCTACTGATGAGGTACCTCCCCTTCCACCCGTACGAGACGACAGACCAATTCTACAACCTCGGGCTCTGGTCCGATCCCGCGTCAATCGGGGCACCCTCGAAGTCCTAGTGGAGTGAACGATCTACCACCAGCTGAGGCCACCTGGATTCCGTGGACTGTTCTGCAAGACGCCTACCCCGATCTCGAGCTTGGGGACAAACTCGTCGTCCAGGAGGGGTGTAATGTTGTGGATGCGTTCATAGGGAGGGCGTACAGCCGCCGACAGCAACAATGAAGAGGGGCCCACAAAGGCGACAGCTTATCTCAGCTCATCTTATCTTATTCTTAGTAGTTTCCTTATCTTATAGAGTTTGATTTACCTATTAGAAGTAGGAGTTTGTTGATCCTAAAAGTGTGAATTAACCTTATCTGTGAGTATGCGAATTCTACTGGGAGTCTTCCCACACCTCTTGTAATCTCTTATTTAAGGAGCTGCAAATTGAGAATAAAGGATTCAGTTATCAGTCAAGAAAGAGTAGGAGAGTTAGGGTGATCTCTTGAACAAATCACCCTCAGTTCGCCACCATAGGGTCTGCGCGCAAAGGGAGGGGCAAGGGGAAGCTAGAAGTTCTCCCCGTGGACCGACCCGTGACGAGATCCTACGCCCGGGCCCATAACAGAGTGTCCCACCTGTACCCAAAGAACCAGTCCCAAATACAGCAAGCAAAAGGGCAAGAGATAAGAACATGATAAGCAGTTTCACCATTAGATTCACATATGTAGCACCAGTTTAGGGAGAGGCGCCATCCTGGTCTTTTTAACTGTAACAAGTCATGGCAGTTACCTTAGGGAATCTTGGACCACTTAGACGACTTCTCAGAAATCTCGGATGTGGTGCGTGAAGCCCACGCTAAACAATGCCTATATAAAGGCACCAACCCCAATGACATAAGGGGGCAAGTAAGCATATTCTAGCTCTCATACTTTGTGATTTTTAGCTCGCAGTCTACTATGAGAGTATTGACTTAAGCATCGGAGCGACCTCGCCGGGTTAGCCACCCCGGGTCCTCTGACATTGATTCCTTGCAGGTCTCTAAAGAACTACGGAACTCAACAATCAATCTAACTCGTCACCAGGCAGCTCGGCTCTCTGGTCAGTTTGACAACTAATAGGCAGTTCAGCCCTCTGGTAAGCTCAACAACTAATAGGCAGCTCAACCTTCTGGTCAACTCGACACCTAAGCATGGTTTTTAAAAACGAACCGGTGACCGAACCGGTCAGGGGTCTAGTTACCGATTCGAACGGTCCAACCGTTGGACCCGAACGGCCAGCCCATTCTGACAAAAAATTTAAAAAATAATAATAAAAATTTGGAAAACGGTCAAAACTGTTTGAATGGTTAATCAGTCGGTTCAGCGGTTTGCTGACCAAAATCAACGGTTTTGAGGGAAAAGCGGTTTTGGAGGAAAACAGAACTGGTCAAGTGATAGGTTCCCGGTTTTTCCAGTCCGACCATCCGGTCCGGTCCGGTTTTGAAAACAGTGGTCACACGTATTGATTGCCCCATGGAAGACCTCCCAACAAAAGGCACCTATCTTAGGGGGGATAGGTCAACACCAAATTTCTTTACATGGGAAAGACAAAGGAGGTGGAGGGGAGGAAGTCAAAAACTCAAAGGAGGCACAACTAAAGGATCTGGAAGGGTTCAAAGTCCAAAAACGATCATCCCCTTTGCTAGTGTCAAAGAAAACCCCATCAAGAATTTTCAAAAGATTTGATACAAGGTCCAACTCTGAATCTCTCACATTCCTCCACAGACCCAAATTCCAACCAAAACCGGAGGGAGAGGGTGAGCGAATCGAAAAATCTGAAACCGGTTTGCCTTTGAGTGAAGGCAATGCAAAAAGAGAAGGAAAATACTCCTTTAGGGGAGCTCCACCCACCCATAGATCTTCCCAGAATTTAATTAAAACCTGATTTGAGCAAGGAAAAGAGGAAGAACTTTGTGAATGGATTTCCACAGAGAGGCACTGGACGCCCTACTAGAAACTCTAACATCCCAACCATTCCCTGAGAGCCCATGAATGCTAGCCACCGCCTTATGCCACAGTTTATCTGTTTCCCGCATAAATCTCCAAAGTCATTTTCCTAGGAGTGTCGAGTTATTCTCTTTCAATCTCCCTAAACCTAACCCTCCCAACTCCTTCCTTTTGCACACCATCTCCCATCTAATTAAATGATCTTTCTTTGCCTCCCCCAATTCCCACAAAAAATCCCTCATTAGTTTTTCTAATCTTTTGATAATGGCTTGGGGCATGCAAAACACAGATAAGTAGTACACAGGGAAATTTTCTAAGGTTAATCAGTGTTATTCTACCCCCAGAGAAAGGTAATTTTTCTTCCACACAGCCAACTTCTTTTCAAACTTCTCCACCACCGGGTTCCTAAAACTCAAAGCTCTGGGGTTTGCACCAAGATGAAGACCCAAATACTTCAGTGGCAACTCATTAGACAGACTCCCTAACTCCCCCACCCACAGATCTAAAGCCTCCTGCTCCAAATTGACCCTAGCCACCACACTCTTGTTTAAATTGACCTTTAAATTTGTTGCTTTCTCAAAAAGACTCACCAGCATCCTAACATTCTTGGCTCCTAACCCATCTTCATGTTCACAAAAGATGATAATGTCGTATGCAAACTGTAGGTGAGTTAACCACTACCCTATCCCTTCCTATCTTCCACCCCTTTAACAGTCCCATTTCATCAGCTTTTGAAATTAACCCGTTGAACACTTCTGCTATGAGAGTGAATAAGAAGGGGGAAAGAGGATCCCCTTGCAAGAAAGGAAGCAACAGAAAATAGCATAAAACTCACTCCATCAAGTCCTAATGTAGAGAGAGATTTTTTAATTCTCCCCCATTCTGCATGCCAAATTCAGTCATGAAAATTCAATAAGAAAACAAAAAAGAAAAGACGTATATTACTTTGTGATGAAGTCGCTGACATCTTGAAGATTCCTCAAATCAGGTGTCTGATGGTTCTGCACAAATTTCCTAATTCTGCGGGAGACACCAACAGGTTGTAATCTGATGGAATAATGCCGGAAATCTATAAGCTTTGTCTCTTTATTGTAATTGAGCAGAACAATCCTTTGACAAGAAGAAAGTTTCACCTGCAACAAACAAGAAAATGTATCAATAAATTATGTAAACTAAAACTAATAATAAGGAAAAACAAATAAAAGAATGATTAAAAGGAACCCCCAACAAGTTAATGATAGCAATCGCTTTATTACTCACAGTGTTGATATCAATGGATGGAAATATATTTTGAAACATAATAGTTGTAAGCTTTAGATGTTGATCTCCAGTCCCAAAACCAGAAAGGACTATCTGCCAGTAATTTTTTTCCCAGAATTAGGACAATACCCTATATTGGTAATGAAAAGAATGAAATTTATAAACATTGCACTACCACGCATTAGGCATATATACAATGAAAATGTTGAGAAGTATTTTGATTTATGAGAAGTATGAGGTAGCAAGTATGAAATATGAATTAAGCATCCATAAAGGGAACCTGAGGAAGTAAGTCATGCATGCAAGGGGGTAAAATGTACCCACCTACACATGAAATGAGCCAGGTCAGATCACAAAGGTTCCCAACCAAGCTCAGTGCATGTTTAAACAACAGCATAATTCAGATAAACCTGATGGTGGTTAGTGGGTTCCTTTATAGAAACAGTTGATTGTAGTCATACTAAATTCCATCCTAAACAGGTCATAGTTGGCTGACCTCAAAATCTTAGAAATTACTAGCTCATGCAATTTAACAATTCCAGCCAACAATGTCCACCCCTTCAAAGGGTTTAATATCAACATAATGTGATAGTGATGATATCCTGCAGAATGGAGCAACAACCAAATCCTCAGAATGGATGTTCCTGTCCTTGTATTTTATTTGACAAAACATAATGACCATCTAATACGCAATCAACTGTAGGCTCAGCCATAAATCGCCTTCTCAATCAAAATTCATAAAATACACACAAGTGGAGAAAGGAAATTTGCTAGGTCAGGAAAGGAAACCTAGTATCAGAAGCTTACCAAGGGAGAGCTTTTGAAAAGTTCCGGAGGGCATCTTGGACGCAGTTGGGACTGCGCAACGTCAACGGCCAATGAATACTCATGTATTTTAAATGTAAGAGTTGGACCTTGAGGAGTTCTTGCAACTCTAAGATAGGGTGCAGTTTCTGTTTTTGATAGTATTAGAAAGTGTGTGACACCCATTGGCCCTGCAACATTCAGAAAATCCTTCAAATTATTCCGTTTCTTTTCCTGCAGTCACACAGCAAAGAAGAGAGAATCATATTCACCATCTCATAGATGTCCTGGAAAAGAACAGGAAGATACATTGCAAATCCAGAATAACTATACCTACAAGCACATTTAACTCAAAAGTTTAGAGTCTAGTCGATCACTTGGTACACTAGTGGCACAAAAAACACCTCACCTTCATAAAGTTATGGAAATTGTTCAAAATTCTCTGTAGTCTAACCCTAGCAGTTAAATTGCTCTACCAAGTTGAATTCCAAGGCTTCGACACCACATTCGGTTTTAACTTCAGTTCTCGTTATGCAATCCAAATTAATAATAGTAACAACAATATGGATAAAAAACAAGAACACATCTGAAATGATAATACCATAAATTACAGACTTTTTAATCGTTGAAATAACATATATTTCATGAATGTGTCATCCAAATGACAAATAAAATTGACCTAACAATGATAAGAAAGAAATTGCTTAGACTAGGAAAATGATTTTTATGAACGGGATATGCAAGCATAGAGCCAAAAGCTACCTTAAGCTTAAGTGCCGTGTAGGGGAGCATCAGCTTCCTCAAGTCCATTTCCAAGTGTCTCAGAGAACTCGGCAGTTTTCCTCTTGAAAAGACAAAGCTTTTCGGGATTTTATCTCCAGTTACATGATCGACACTCTGCTTCTTTACAACAGGCTTGACAAACGCCTTCTTTTTCTTCTTTAATAAACAAGAAAACAAAAAAATATGTATTCAGTGAAGGAGAAGTGCAAATTGATGATACCAAGCATCAATTTCTACAACAAACAAAATACAAATAATTGCTTACATTATGGAAACGAGCCATCTATTTGAACAGATGAAGAACTTTACTGCCACAATCGGTAGTTAGAGCTCCCTGAAATAAGCATTTAGTGTTGATCTCAATATCCAAATACTTGTAGTCGGATCAAATTGAGCATCTAAATTTCAAACAACCATGCAGCCAAGAAAATACTAACATCCTATAAATTCTTAATGTTCAGAATTGGAAAACCAAATACGATGAAGTAATGTTTTAGGATAATGGTTTCAGCTAGATTGGTTGGTTATATCATAATATCTCCTAATATATGGTTGAACTTAAAAATCAATCGAAACAAACCACTACCCTAGAGCGAGCGAGAGAGAGAGAGAGAGATTTGATAACTGGAAAAGATACCTGATTTATTATAGTGTTCTTTCCTCTTGTCTCGTTTTCTGGTTCAGGACCGGCCTGAATTGGTAACATTCCGATTTTAACTATCAGCCAAACGGAGTATAAAGTTTTGCAACTTATAACCACCCGTTTGGCAACATTCTTGGGGAACGTTTCTCTTGTTCCTGACATTCCCCGAAACAAAAACGCGTTTAGGAAAAAAAGAAAGGACAGATTTCTTAAACTACCCTTGTGGTTTAGTTAATTGACTACGGGCCCGTTTGGCACATCTTTTCGTGCGGTCTTTCGGCTGTTTACAAGCTGGGAAGACCGAAAATCAGTCTATTTCCATTTGGCACACGAAAGATCTAGCCGCCAAAAGATGGGATGCCGAAAAGACGCAAGAAGCCCATTTTGGGCCGACTTCGGGAAGCTCCAAATGAAGCTTCTCGCATCTTTCGCATTTTAATCTCGCGCGAAACGACGCACGAAAAGATGTGCGTCTGCCAAACGGTCTTCAGGCTGTCCAAATCTTATGTCAAAAGCTCAATGCATCTTTTGACTGTCAGAGCTACAAGATCTTCTCAAAAAGACTTGCCAAACGGGCCCTAACTCTACCCTTACTGTTAAAATATTGTCTTAAAGTATCCCCAAGTTTTTTGACAATTGACATCGCCATTAAGTACTACCAGAAAAAACAAAATGTCAAATTTGCCCCTACTATTCCTAAAATTTTCAAAATAAAACCCAACTGTTGAAAATTTTCAAGAAGATGAGGAAACTGATCACATAACCATAGCCAGAGCCATTCATAGCAGACTCAACATTCCTTTGTGTAAGCTATGACTCAAAGGTCCAAGGTGCAAACAAGCCCGCCTCCCGGCATGGGCGAGTATGGATGTGCATGGTTGCATCAAAACTAGTTGGAAGTCGCCAAGTAGATGTAGAGAAGCGACTAGTAGACAGAGGTTGGCATGTCTCCATCTCTCTTTATAATATTTCTATTGTCAATTCTAGATAGAAACTACCCAATACCCATGCCCCGCTATTATATTATCCGACCTTACCAACAAGAAAATCTAAACTCTACTTTGCGCACAGGGATTAATCTAAACCATCCAACCACTAGAACCTCTGATAATAGAAGCTGAAGTTATGCCAACTACCAAGCTTGTAGAAGATTTCCTGCAACTGTGGTTGCATAATCGCCCATTGTTCCAAAAGAAAAAAAAAAAGTCAGAAATCAGAATTCAACAAATGTCTTTTTGGCCAATTTTCAAATTAAAAGTCGGATATTAAAACATAAGATGTCGTGAAGCAGTAACAAGCTTACGATTACGACTATGACTACAGGATATTTTTGTTTTTGTGTTTGAATGGAAAAGGGATCATAATGCAATATTCGAAAAGGTAGAGTAGACATAAAAGTGAAGGAATGAATTAAAAAGAAGAAAGGAGTTGTTGGTTGGGGAACATTACAGTGAATATAACTATTCAAGTAAAGCATGCACAAGCACAAAGCAAAGTAAGAGATGGAAGGTGTGACAAGGGAGACAACTAAATTTGCTTGTCAAATTCTTGTCCTTTTCTTCATTACAGCAATGCAATGGAAGTACCCACTTACTAGCTTCACCGGGCATGCGACTTTGGGAAATTATTTTGCCTCGCACTTTTTATCTAGGTTCTGGAATCTGAAAACCGGAGACTGTTTTTTCTCTGAAGTTTATCCATATCTCGACCTCGACTATGCACTGTCCAAGGATGCAAGGTATCACCACCAAAATGGCGCCAATGCTAATAGTGTAGTTCTAGTGCACACCAAACCCACTTCGTCTCCATTTATGCATCCTCCGACCAATGCTTCGACATGGATTTTTGCCGATCCAAGCCTTCTTACACAACTACACCATCCCTTAGCTAGAGCATAAATTCAGATCTACCTAAAGTCAACACAAATTGCACTTGAAACTCCCAATTAACTGATTTCCCTTGTAGGTTTTCTCGATATAGGGTTTAGATATGGTATTTTAGGAAAAAAGATAAAAGGGTATTTTAGGAATAGAGGTAAGAAATTTTTGAAATCACTCATGTGATATCACATGTGACAAAAAGTTAACCGCAAGGGAGGTTTTAAACAATTATCAAAAAACTTGGGGGGTACTTTAAGATAATATGTAAACAGTAAAGAGAGTTAGTTAACTAGCTAAAACCATAAGGGTAGTTTAAGAAATTTGCTCAAAAAGAAAAAGCAAGAGACTATTCTACAAAGAACAGCACCCAAAATCCCTACTGTCTAGGAGTGACAAAACCAACACTCTCAAAGACCATGTTCTTAGATAATGTGCCTTCAAATTTAGGAACACATGTGAATTGTTTCCCACGTGAGAACAAGGGCATTTTGGACATTTTTCCAACCTAATCACCTCCAGCCCTAATGGCCTTTTTCTTACTTCGTTGAGCACTCCAGTTTTTCTCATTGTCAATGACGAACAACGATGAACCACAGGTGACCAAGGTAAATACTGTTGTTTTTTTTCCGTTTTTTCTCTGTATACAGAGAATCTCCTGTTATGTCTCTCACTCGATTTCCTCCTTACCAGTGTCAAGGTGAAGGCTGCAACAAATCTTCTCCGGCGTCCGTTTTTCTTCGAACTGTAACACAGGTACGTCTTCTTTTCCAACGAACGACCACGTGAGATTCTACTCTGTTTTGGAAACCCTATTTAGTGACTGACCTCGATGCACTGCTCTTCAATCTCATGTTTCAGTTTCAAAACATACTCCCCAGTCACACCCATGTTGTTTAGAGCTGTTGCAATCTCTGTTCCAGTCTTCTGTACACCAGCACCACCCAAGAACAATTTTGCACCTAGATTTGGCTCTCTTTTATTTTCTGTTGCAATGCTTCCTGGTATTCATTACTCAACAAATTCATGGTACCACTAAGAATAGCAAGGACTGAATTGGCATTTGAAGTTGAAGTTGCCCTTTTTGTGGCTCGGGGATCCAATTCTGGATCAACAGAATTCAATCCCCTGATTTTTTACACCATGAATTCAGTATAATCCTCACCCAGAATCACCATGAATTCTGGTCCTTCTGCAGCTCCAATGCTAATCTGGCCAATTTCATGTATATGAGAGAACCTCTATTCTCTCTCTCTCCCCCCATCCCTTCCAGATTGAAGGAATGACAAAGTACAAATACATGCAATCTAATGAATAGCTTCCCAAAACACAGTAATCAGCTATTATACAAATCTTAATTGAGCCAATTGTTATCATCCCACACAAATTGTAATTTGCAGTGAAACTTTCAAAATTTCAAGATTAAAAAAGAAAAAGAAAAAATTCTACATTTGAACAATTATACTGGGATCCACATCAAAGTTTTATTGGGAACTGAATGTGGAGAGGTTTGGTCCTTGCTATTGGATATAGAAAACTGAATGTGGAGAGGTTTGAAATGTTTCAGAACTAATGTTAAGAAATAGTTTTATTACCCAAACGTTGTTTCTGTTTCTGCTTCTGTAGAACAAAAATCAGTTCTCGAGGAATAATTTGCCAATTACATCTGTTATTCCAGAGGACTAAGAAATGAAATTCCTATTTCAGAACAGGAGTTTCCGCGGGAACAAGAATAGGTGGGAACATTGCCAAGCAGGGCCTAAAGGACTCCATTTGAAGTTCTACTATTTCGGGTTGGGTTGGATTGGGTTGGGAATTCAGAACTTAGGGTTGGGCTAGGGTTGACCTTAACTCGACAAAGCCCAGCCCAACCTGCTCCCCTAGTTGTTTTCTTCTTGTTCTTTCCTCGACAAAAAACGTAAAACTTCTTCTCTAAACCACAATTCAGGCCGGTCCTAAACCAGAAAATGAGACAAGAGGAAAGAACACTATAATAAACGGTTTGGTTTGGTTTGGTCTAAGAATTTCCCAAACCGAAATTTACTGGTTTGGTCTGATAAATTCTCCAAACTGGACCACAAAATTTAAATCTTTTAAATTTAAATCATCTCCAAACTGGTCCAGTTTTGTGCGGTTTGGAGAATTTCTCGGACCAAACCAGTAGATTACGGTTTGGGAAATTCTCATACCAAACCAAACCGTTTGGCATAGAAACCAAACCAAACCGTTTTATTACAGTTTGGTGCGGTTTCTAATACAGTTTGGGGACTTTGTACTATTCTATGCTTTACTTGGACTACAAAACTAGTATAGAAAAAAAAATAATTAACAAAACAAGAATAACATAGATATCAATATTAATTGGAGAATAACTGAATAACACCATAAACGATAGAGTTTGACAAATTCAAAGTTGTACAACATGAAAGTGTTTTCTTGAACTCCCAACCCTCAAGCATAGAGAATACATATCCAAAAGGTAGTGTTTTGGTCACTTCAAAATGAATCATTCATCCATTATTAAATGTAAAACAAATAACATATGAAAACCATTATAGAATTCATTAATTAATAAATCATATATACTTAATTAATAAATCATAAATCTGTTAATAATGAAGTATATTAACAATTATGACCTAAACAATTTTGAAAATAAGAGCATTTGAACAAAGAACAATAGAATATATTTTATATACAAATCTGTTAATAAAATTGCAATAAAAATAAACAGTTTATTGTTGAAAATTTAAATATATACAATGCATAAGCATAACAAAACCAAAAAACTTAAGAATAATGTAAAATAATCAATTAAATAAATCTGAACATTAATAAAAACATTCTCATATAAAACATCTGCATTCTAATGCTAAAAACATGCATATATAAACATATAATTAAAAAATAATTAATTCCTAAATTTTTTGTCCAAAATTCTAAAATTGTTTAATATTTTACCTGTCTCCCAAGCCCAAATTCGAGTTTTGTTCTTGTATTTCTAGAGTTCCAGTTCCAGCTCCTGGGTGTTCACAGTTTGAACATATGTCACTGCATCAGAGAAGACATAGGGGTTAGGCCATTTGGGATTTTCTTTTTCAAATAATAGAAGGGACTAGAGAGGAGATGAGAAAATGATAAAGAGATTGAAGAGGAAGAGGGTTTCCTGGCCTCCTTCGTTATGGTGTTTTGTTGGGGTTGGAAGAGAGATGACAAGACGAGAGGGAGACGGGACGGGAGCAGAGACAATGGTGGAGTAGCCGGCGGTGAGTCGGTGAAAATGGTGGGTCGGCGGTAATGGTTAGGGCTTCGTTGTATCATCAAGAATGAGAGAGAAAGAAAAGAGTATTTACCACGAAGCAGGACGGCGAAGATATGATCGACGACACTAAACCAGCGGCAGCGGCAAGCCGGCAACACTAAATCGTCGGCGTTCTGAGAGGAAGGGCTGAGGTTGTCTCACTCTCGTTCGGTGTTCTCTGAAGCCAAAAGGGAAAGGGTATGAAGTAGGGTATCGATTATCGAAGAGAAGAGAGAGAAGTCATAATTTAAAACTCAAAACTAAAATTTAATTTATATACATTACTTTAACTTATATATTCGATATGGGTTCGCATCTGCCCCCAAAAACGTCCCACGAAATCGAAACGCGACACGTGTTATGATACACGCGCATTGAACGAGACGCGTGCGAAACCCATTTTATGCCGTGAAATGCACCTCTGTAAGTTCCTCTCTTGTCCAAAAGCGTTTCTTTTCTCATATTCCTTCATTCTACTTCGGAACTGAAACTCTTGGCGCCGGCCCTTTCGTAACCCACTCATCGGAGATTAATTCGATCGAATTCCGCCGATCGACGCCAACGGCCATAACGGTAGGAGGTAAGTACTCTGTAATTTTTTCTCTCTTTTTTTTTGTTTTTTCTCATTCGTTTTTTAACATTCACATTAGGGGTGGCAATTTTCCCCATCCCCGATGGGTACCCGGGCCCCAACCCGATGGGGTCGGGGTCGGGGTCAGGAATGGGGCTACCCATGAATCCCCAATTGGGGATGGGGACGGGCCCGTCCCTGATTAATATTATATATTATATAAGTATAATAATTATTAATTTATTTGTAAAAACTAAAAGTCTAAAACATAATTCGAAGAAATCAAGAAAACTTGAAAAGTTGGAAAACCCTTAACCCTCAACTAAACCAGTTACCAGTCTTTATTCTTCTGTCTTCGACAGAGAAGACTCAAGAGAGGCGACTAAACCACAAAACCAGTAAACCCTAGCTTCGTCTTCGTCGCCGATTTGCTAACTGCCAATTGTCGTTGCTGACTGTTGCCACTGCCCACTCACCCGTCAGACATCGAAATTCGAACAGAGGAGAGGCCAGAGAACTGAGTAAGAGGCTTTGTCTTCGTCGCCGATTCGCAGACCACCGACCTTCATCATCATCGTCAACTGTTGTCGCCGTCATCGTCGTCGTCGCTATCACCCTTCAGACTCTCTCTCTCATCAGTCATCATCGACATAAACTCTCCCAAGTCCCAACGGTCCTCTCTCTTAGTTTCGAGGATTCGGGTCTTCAACGGGGAATTCATCCCCGACAAAGTTGGGGATGGAGGGGGGATTCCTTTCCCCATCGAGGATGGGGAGTGACTTGGGGGTTAGGGTCGGGGATGGGGAAAGTACTCCCTGCCTCGTTGCCATTCCTAATTCACATATTTGAACCCACCAGAGTGGGAGCCTCCTGATGTCGTTTCAAACCCTTGACACCCCTGGAATTCGAAAGCCCTCCAAAATTCGAAACTCTCCGGAATTTGAGTTTGGACTTGAGGCGCTTGGCCATGGCTGGAACAGCCTGGGAGGAGGAGTGGGAGTTGTGCAACGATGACGGCTTTGTTCACAAGAGAAAGAAAAAGTAGACAAGATTATATTGTTGCTGCTGCACCACCAGTACCGGCTTCTGATCCAGTGGTGGAGCTAAGAGACCAGTTGCGACAAATGAATTTGATCATAATTCCCTTTGTAATGATGATTGTCATGTATTCTCTCGTGAAATATTAAAGGTTCTTTGTCAATATTCTGTCTCTCTTTATCAGTATCTACATTGTGATACAATATTTCTCAGGCAATTGGTTTCAGCAATGGTAAAAAATTTTAAGTCTTAGGCTTCATTTGCCTTTCCTTATTTCAAGGACTTACCTCTTTTTGGCGTTGGGGACATTTTAACCGCAAAAAAGAGTCCTTAAAACAAGGAATGCCAAATGCAGCCTTAGACCTAGAAGCCATATTTGCAGATATCTGCAGATATCATGTTACAGCAATGGAAACAAAGGTTTAAAGGAGCATCAGTGCTGATGAGAGTATATATCTACTAAGTACTTGCTACACAACACTATGACTCCTACTACTACAGATATACAGAAAAATATACATTGCCTTGCTACAACAGTAGAAATACTGCTGGTCTTTGGTTATTACCAAAATCCCTCTTCCAGACATAGCAACTACCTAAATGCATACATGAGCAATAAACAAGGTGTTTTGAAGATATCATAGCATTTCTTTGGTACTTTTTCTGATAACCCGCTCAAGTTGCAGAGGGTTTTAGAAAATGGTTGATAGGACCAACTGCTGAAAGAACTCAGACCTTTGGCTTCTCTCTGTATAATCCTGCTCCCGAACTTCATATGACATAGATTTTTCCATGCTGCATCAACACAAATTGTCAGCCATATCCTCTTACAGTCAAAAGTGTTTAAACACACCAACAATTCCTAACACGGCAGTTATGTTTCCTTCCAAAACTACTATTTACCATTATGAATTTTAATTGCTTATGACCGGAGAGTTTCGAATTTTGGAGGGCTTTCAAATTCCGGGGGTGTCAAGGGTTTGAAACGACGTCAGGAGACTCCCACTCCGACGGTTTCAGATCTGTGAATGTTAGAAAACGAATGAGAAAAAAACAAAAAAAAAAGACAAAAACTTACAGAGTACTTACCTCCTGACAGTATGGCCGTTGACGTCAACCGATGGAACTTGATCGATTAATCTCCGATGAATGGTTATGAAAGGGGGCTGGCGCCAAAAACTTCAATTCGAAGTAGAATGGAGGAATATAGGAGAAGAAACGCTTTTGAACAAAAAAGGAATTAACGAAGATGCATTTCATGGCATGAAAATGAATTATGCATGCGTCTCGCTTAATGCATGCGTGTCATGAAAATGACACGCGTCACATTCCTGTTTTGTGGAACGTTTTTGGGGGGCAAGTATGTAGAAGGCAAATGCGAACTCATTCGATATACGTTATATATAAAATATATAAGGTTAAAATGTATATAAGGTATGACATATATATAGGCGCCATTAATCACCACATCATCAAAATGCCAATAAATTGCGCACAGAAATTTTGCAAACTTCGGTACACACAATGGAGTTAGGCTTCAGTCCGGGCCACGTCAGTCAAGGCACCGTTCGCGCAGTATGTGAACGCGCCACACGTTCTTGAAAGCCATCACGAGCCACCCCTGCAAGCCATCTAATACAAACAAAATCCGCTGCTGTGATTCGTCGTGAACAGGAGAGTGTTCCAGATATCGGCTGAAGAGCTTGAAATCAATGGATCTCTCGAACAACATGCTTTCCGGCGAGATTCCAGGAACATTTTCCGAGCTCAAGAACTTGACGCTGTTGAATCTTTTCAGGAACAAGCTACACGGTGCTATTTCCGACTTCATCGGCGATTTTCCGGATCTAGAGGTTTTACAGCTTTGGGAGAATAATTTCACCGAAAGTATCCCTCAAGGGCTTGGAAAGAATGGGAGGCTTCAGTTCCTATATCTGTCGTCCAACAAGCTCACTGGAAATCTCCTGCCTGATCTGTGTTTCGGAAATCGGCTGCAGACGCTGATCGCTTTGGGTAACTTCTTGTTCGGTCCAATTCCGGAATCGCTGGAAAGATGCGAATCACTGAGCCGGATTTGGATGGGAGAGAACTTCCTTAATGGTGCCAGACCTAAGGGGCTTTTTGGCCTCCCCATGCTCGTTCAAGTAGAACTTCAAGGTAACTATCTCGTTGGAGGTTTTCCGGAAATTGATTCAGTCGCCGAGAATCTTGGGCAGATCAGCCTCTCTAACAACCAGCTCATGGGATCTCTTCCACGGTCCATTGTAAACTTTTCTGGCGTGCAAAAAGCTCCTCCTTGATGGGAATTTTTTCTCTGGTAGCATTATGGCTGAGATAGGAAGGTTGCAGCAACTATCCAATATGGATTTTAGCAATAACAGATTTTCCGGCTCAATTGCCCCAGAGATCAGCCAATGCAAGCTGCTTACTTTAGTCGATCTCAGCAGGAACGAGTTGTTTGGTGAGATTCCACCAGAGATCATGGGTATGCGAATCCTGAATTACCTGAATTTATCGAGGAATCATCTTGTGGGGAGCATCCATGCGTCTATCTCTACTATGCAGAGCTTGACTTTTGTTGATTTCTCCTACAACAACCTCTCTGGTTTGGTTCCTGGAACAGGCCAGTTCAGTTGCTTCAATTCGACGTCCTTCATTGGCAACTCTGATCTCTGCGGCCCATACTTGGGGTCGCCAGTGATGACTGTTGGAGAGGGAGAGGTGAGAGTGACTAGTGAGCGCAGAGTCCGATGAGTCTCCGGTCGCCGGTGGCTGTTGATCGCCGCCGGTTGGAGAGGGAGAGAGTGAGAGCGAAGAGGGTGGGTTCGGTTCAGTGTGGCGAGAGAGAGTGAGAGTACGCTAATGGACCTTCATCATTATTTGCACTAACCGGTACCTCTCGATCTTTTTTTTTCTTTAAAAAAGAGAAAAAGCCCCTATGTCACGGTTTTACACAGCCTACGCTTGGCTTACTTAAGGGACAATATCGTCATTTTCACGTATAAGATTTTTGGGAGAAGTGATGTTATTTTCAAGTAAACCACCAAAAGTTTAAAATACTCTTTGAGGAAGGGTGGTCGACCTCCTTGGGTGCCTAACCTTGGCACTCGTAAACTATCATCCTTTGCGGGGCAGCCCTGGTTAATGGCTATCTTGGCTACCAGAGTTCCTCATGGGCGCACACATACTCATGGGGACAGTGCATGGACCGACACTGCGCTGTCAACACTCAAGGGAGGTTTGGCATGCGGGTCTGGCTCAAGCATGACCCTTCACCACGCCAGCCTCTTACCCAAGCTGAGTGAACAACCTCGTTGCCTATAGCGCACGGGTGTGTTCCGACCCAGCAGTTGCCTATCAACATGGCACACAAGTGCCCATCATCACCAGCATACAAGAGACTCATCACATCGGCGCCCAGTCGCCTCACATCATGGCCTTCCCCCTTTACCACGTAAGCGACACTTCCCATGGACCAGCCAGAGCCAGCCGAGTGCCCCGGCCATGCGGCTGGAGGTCATGATCCAGTGCTACTGACCTTGGCGGAACCATCTCATCGGGCAACTCCTAGCCTCCAAGCACACAAAGGCTTGTCCTGGCTGCCTTGGCCAGGACGCCGCACGGGTTTCTTCTGCTGTA